GTTCTCTTGGAATCGTACGATGAGGCTCTCGTTGACGGACCCTCTGCAAGAAGCTGAGGTTTTAGGGAAAGAGACGTGCAGTTTGACTTTGCATTAGCTCATGCGGTCTTGGACATCTTTCTTCCATGTCGTCATCAGTTCTCACTGGGAACTTCTCACCTCATCGTGAAGCAAGTACTGAAGAAAATCAGTGCAGCTTGCTGTTTCCTCGAAAGCTTCGGTTTTCTTCTTTTTTGTTCTCTCTTTCCTACCCTTTCCCCGTTAGCCTTCTTACACGACTCTTCGCAATCACTCAGGTTGAATTTGAAAGTTATATGCCTCAGTTTTAGGTCTGTGATGGAACATTGAGCAAATCCATTCAATGCAGCTGATTGTAGGCTTCACTTGCTGAATATCAGATTCTCGGCAAAACTTTTTGTGTAGAAGCGGAAATATGTCGTAAAAACATATGTATGCGTACGAGATGGTTCTTATATGATCTCAGTCTTTCTGGATTTTTGAAATCTTATTATATTGTGCATTTATAAGATACACATTCACGCACATCTCCATTCAAACTACACAAACTAGATGATAGAATTGACAACCAGCCAAGCTTTTAACTAAAGGTGCTATTTTTCCCATCTAAACAATGCTTCTGATAAGCATGGTATTACATTTATCCTGTGATTTACTAAATTTCCTCAGGCGTATTGGTAGAACTTTCTCTGAAACATTATGACAACGGCACCCATGAAATACTGCCTTTCAATTTCTACGTTTCGAGCTGAGTTCTCAAAATTGTTCTGTGGTTTAGATTTTATGTTAAACTGCTTTCGAGCTCATATACGGGCCGCTAGCTAACATAAGGCCTCATGACGGTTCTCTCTATAATTATGATGAACGAGAAGAAACCGATCCAAGAGTTTGTACATCCTCGCTGACGTTAAGCCAAGGATATGATGTTAGGGCTGAAATGGCCGCTTCTTACGTCACAAGTGTTATGAATCCTCCTAATCATCTCCGTAGAAATGCCTTTGATTTCTGTAGAGCTCTTTGCACGGAAAAAGTAAAAACTTTTCCAAGCGGGCTCGAATTTCTATCGTAAATCTGCACTGTGCATCTGACTATGCACCGTATCTCCCTAATCTCGAAGTGATTGTTCATTTTTGCTCTGACTTCTCTCCCCATCAAGGTAAGCTTCCTCACTATAGGTCTGTAAGATTACGGTAGCTTTATCTGCTCAAAACGACTTCTTGCTCACCAGGTTGCATTTCTTTGGCCTAAGGCATAGCTCTCGCGATTCGGCAGAATCGCCACTTTCACGCGACTTGGCGATTTCCAAATTTCTACGAGTTTATCGTGCACGCTTGTCGAACGTATATTCGGGTAGCTTGTGTAAGTTGTTGCAAAGGGATCAAGTCCTGACCAATAGCAGCGCATTAACGACGAATGACAAAGAGTCGTTGTTGTGTCAAATTGCGCAGCGACCGGAATCGCGCGAGGTATGCATTAGGCCTTTAGGAGTCAACTGATACTGTAAGTGATCTGAGGGCTGTGGACGAGTTCGCCGCGTAGATGACTATCGCGTGATAGTGACGTTATTTAGCTATAAAAGTTAATTGGAGGCCCGCAATGATAGAAGTTTCGACGAATCAAGTCGCGAGCGCGAGGTCATCACTAGACTCCAGCGCGTAATTTTACGACCACTTTCGCACTCCGGATCTTCTCATACCCGACTCTCTCGCGCATTAATGTTGATAGAATGAGAAAGTTACGGTGATGTGGAAGGGGGGGGGGGGGAGGGGGAAGAGAGGGAAAGCAGCAAGATTGGTTACTAAGATTAAATGATAATGTCTGGAGTTATGGCTTTCAATATCATAGTAATCACTACTTGTAAGCAGCGGTGCAGAAATGAGATAGAAGAACCGGTTTGTTTTTTTGAAGGCATGCCGTGTCCAAATCGCATTCTCTACGGCTCCACGACTGCACTACCTCACTTTGCTTTCCTCTTCTTCTCCCTCACCTGCTACTTCACTCAAGCTGCTTCTTAATCTCAAGCACTTTTCTAATCAAGACAAGACTTCGAAACCTCTTCACTCGCTTCTGCCCAAATCTTCTGGTTTGGTAGTGCTTACCCCTTGCCGGCTTCTTAAAAACTGAGTGGTTAAGTCTATTTGAACGTGGGCTTAATTCAAGAAAGCTAGAACGTTTCAAGTATTCGTCTTTTATCCTTATTCTCACTTTATTAGGCGCCTTTAATGCGAGTAATCTATTTCTTATCTCTAAGCGTTTGCAAATTTATTTGCTTTTTTCTCAGATAATTCCTCTCAAGAATGATCAAATATTCATTTCCGCTTTTCTATACTTACCCCGCAGCTGCTTTCTTTCCTAACAGGATCCCTCTACTTCTTTTGCAAAGGATTTTCTTCAATGTACTCATGTTTTTCCTTACCTAGCCGCAGCTGTGCCCCAATTGCGTTGCACGTTTCTCAAATGCATAGTAGAATGTGGAGACTATTATATCTAAGAAAAAGGCGCCATATCGGACATGAACATATGTGCCGGATAGTTGAAGAAGAGCAGAAGCCTAGAAGAGATTAAGGGAGGGGGAAGGGTGGACGTTACAAGGGGGGGATCGCAGGGCATTTCAGGCCCGGTACCTTCCGGTCTTTCTACTCAAACTGGCAGTCAGCCGAACGTCATGCTCGTCTTCAATGAGGTGACCGAGATGCTGGCGGGTTGGGTCTTCATGCTATGACTCAATTTGATTACAGGTTACCGTATAAATCTGGTTCATACTCGCCCCTCCCCCCTCCCCTTCTAAGTCAGCTCTTCTGACTTGGCTCAAACGCATCGGAGAGTAAAAAGCTCAAATGTCTACAGATTAGGCCAATGGCTGAGCTTTGGGGCATAATGCCATGCTAAAAAGAAAAAGTGGACTGCACTTGCCTAGTACATTTGCATGCATTCTGCTGCTATTTCGTGAATACTCATCCCTCCTTTCAATATGCTCGTCATGGAACTCTACCAGAGACACCATCGTAATTAAAGGCTTCAGCGAATAATTGCATTGTCTGGATTTCTGAATCGATTTCCAGATCTATTGTTACCCTCTATGAGTAGTTGAAATCGCACATTCATTTGCTATTCAATGTGGTCAGACCCCATCTCTTCTCTGAGTGAGGGGGACCTGTGTCTGGAAAATAGATGAAGTGGAGTGGGAAGACTTAAAATTCTGTGCGGTTAATAGGCTTCATCGGCATCAGCATTTTTTTACAACGGAAAATCTCTCCTTCTTAAAAATTCACCACTTATCATCCCCACAGTTTTTTCGCCATTGGAAATGGGTTAAGTCCGGCTCCTCGATCTTCAAGGCATTTAATCGTTCAGATTTACCCATGGAAAGCTCGTTCTAGAACCATGGCTGTTACATTTTCAATGAATATGTGATGTTTCATCTCGTGCATCACGCGAATTTGTAGAAGTTCTCACTTCATCTTCTTAGAAATTTAACATCTGCAGAAAAAACCGCTGGGCCCTGCGCTTGCCCTTTGCAAAATTCTGTCCGACTGCGTCCTTTCGTCATTCACGGACTTTCTCTAACTTTCCGAACATATTCTCGGCGTAAATTACTCCTTTTCATGCTAGTGGTGTGTTTCTATTTCTATGGCACATTGATGCCAGTCGCAGCTCCAGAAAGTGCATCAGCACTCATTTTCCAGCGGTAACGGAAATGCTGCGTTTGGCAGCGGGCGTTGATGGACATTGCTTGTTTGCTATGTTTTTTCTCTTCTTGCAGATGAATCGAAATTCCATTGCAAACTCATATTTTCTAAATTAGCTTTTTAGAACGGCCTTATGCTGAGTGTCAATTCAGCTGAGATGACTGGGTAATTGTAAGAGATTGTTTAGCGGGTAACAGAGACCGCCCTGTTCGGGCCGTAGACGCCCAGGAGCATGTACTTGGTCCTTTGAGGTCTTCACTTGCATTTAGCACTGAAATTAATCTAATTTGTACCAAACTAGGATACTGTATCACGCAGATGTAACACATTATTGCTGAGGAAAAGCTTGGAAAATAAATATCGGCCAGCTCCAAATAATATCTATCTCCGGTCTTAGCATTCTAGAACTCCTGGACATTGAATGATTTCCGTATTCGCGGAGTAGCTGATAGATTCTATACTCTAATTTTGTAGGTATGCATTTCGTTAACACTCCATTAATTCAAAGGATTGTAGCATTCTATCGGAGCATGATAATCTTTTCTACTCTCCATGCATTATCATACATTTTTCATCTTTTTTATGGAGTGAGCACAGTATGATGATTTGATACCATTACACTTCTTCGGATTACTTTTCTGCATAGAATTTTTCAAATATTGAATTTTGTGCTTGCGCATGTATTTTTTGCTCGTAGTATATAAGTAGCGCTATAAATTCGTTTTGCTTTTTATTCATTTCTTAACTACCACTGACCCGTTATCGCCTGTACATTCCTAACTGACATGATTTTCTCATTTTTTCCAAAATAGAAATTATGTTGAAATGTTCATTCAGCATTATTCACATGTGACCAAAGCGAATGAACATTGGATTCAGGGGGTACCTCCTCTCCCAAGTAGAATACTAAAATGTTATTCAAGAGATGAGTAAAGACTGAAAAGCATTAACGTTCCGTTTTGGTACACTTCTTTACTTCAGTCTTTTCTCTACTCCTTACTTTGCTCTGCATTTGCATTTGCAAAGCGCGAACTCCTGTGTTTGTTTTCAATAGTAGGTTCTAATAAATGCTTGCCATAAGCAGGACTTATTTAGCAAGCCTTTCCTCCATAATTTGCATTTTCATATACTTTTTTGACGCTATCGTCACAAACCCATTATTAAGCTCCGCCTGCTTTCATTTTGCTATTCTTGTTGGGATTTTGAATTCACAGTCCTTCGCTCACTTTCTCATTTGCAATTTTGCAGAATTGCGACATGCTACTGCGATTACTGCTATTGGTTCCGCTAGCAATGTGCACCAGACCGGTAGATCCACAGAAGAAATTTCCGACAGCTATAATCGTCGGAGTAAAGAAGGCTGGCACAAGAGCTTTGCTAGAATTCCTGCGATTAAATCCTCGTATTCGAGCCCCAGGCCCAGAAGTACACTTCTTCGACAAGAACTACCACAAGGGACTAGATTGGTACAGGTGAAGCCTTTCCCAAACATTTTCTGTCCACTTTCTTTCTTCACAAAGATTGCTTATGGACAGAGCAAAAATGACTATGCCATCTATATCGAAATCCTTGATTATCATGTCCAGAGGATATTAGCCACCATATTTGCCTGTTGGTTAAAAAATCCACATCGGAACAGCACAAATGAACTATTACAGTACCTTCAGTAACGCTGATATCAAGGTGTTACGGTAAGATTCTAGTCCTCAAAGAATCTTCTCCTTGCGATTGAGAATTTTGGGCATGTTGATGACCAACTTTTACGCTGGTGCAGAATGCAGAATTTTTTCCATTCTCATTGAAGGAATGCTTAAGATGTACATTTCTTGAAGTTGCTGATTTTTCTCCAAAGTTTTCTGCGTCCAAAAGACGTTGTGATTGTTTGATTCTCTATTTTCTTCACAATCCTAAAATTCATTGAATTGTTTGATTGTTCTAGTTATTTGCCCGAACATGCCTTCTCTTACTAGTAAATTCTAATAACTCTGACTGAATAGCCCAGTTTTCTGCAGTTCATGAGGCTGATTTTCACATTCTTTTTTTTTTCTTGAGTTGAACGCGCAGTGCAGAGTTATTGCTGAGGATGTCGATATCAATTGCATTCTCATTTTGCGAACTAATTTATTTGCGAGAATAAAGGCGAGAACAGCTGCAAAGGGAAAGGGCATAATTCAAATGCGTTGGTCGTTACAACGACAATGAAAAAAGCGGTAGTGCTTGGGACCGACTGGGAGGAAGATGAAGCTTTTGAAGCAAAAGCTTTCCATAACCAAAATTATAATCGCCTACAGTTCGACAGGTGCAGAAATGCATTAGAAGTTTGGATAGGCTCAGCGACACCAAGGGGACAGGGGGGGGGGGGCAGGAGCGGGCAATTCAGCACTTTTTTGCCACCTCTGGTCAAGAAACGTTCAGTTAGTGCGACATTCGTGGATGACAATTTCTATCTGCTCAATCAAACCTGTGCAACCTCATAACATAGGATCGTGTTTCAGTAGAGTGAACCGTGGATACATCGCAGGTGCTGTGCAACCCTGCAGCACCGACCATGGGAGCAGGTGAAGCTAATAGGATTGTGTAAACATGAGTACAACACGATAGCATCATCATAACATGGAGGTTACCTGCTTCTGAAATGATCTGGCACCAAGCCAGGACCATTCTAACCTAGGAATTTCTGATCAGCTGGTATAGGCCAGGTGCCACACAGACGGCGTTGACCTTTCGCTTCATCTCCCCACCTCGGAGTCTGTCTGAGTGCGTAGCAATTTGTCAGCACATTTGGCTCACTGCAAAGGCCGTTAATCTTTGGGAATGCTCGTACACAACGGTTGGATAATTAGTCTCTTAAATGAGTTAAGCTTTGCGACAACTGTCATTATGGATGCAAAAGAGTACAAATACACATTTTTGAGAAGAAATCGCTATTGAATAGGTGCGTTCCATAGAAAAAGTGGCAGTAAACCGTCATGCGGATTAGTATTCAGTCACGACATAAATTTAGACCATTCACCTCCAGCTCGGGGCTGCCCTCCTCTATTCCCGCGTGCAATACTTACCCGAGATGAGTTAGTGATGGTTTTACGATCAACTAGTTAGTGTATGCTCGCGCACTGTAATCGCAGCCGTCATAAACCAACCCTAAACTCGGACTCGGACGAATGGGGCAGTGCAGGGGAAAGGGGCTAAGAACAATCACGAGCCATGAGTGTAAGGGTGCGATAAGTTAAAATGTGAAGATTCTAATCGCTGTATCATAGAGTCAAGGGGATTTATGATTCTGATCTTGTGCAAATGATCTGAGATGAGTAGCGATACGAAAAGAACGTCAAGCTAGGAGAGTAGCTCGAAGCTCTGTTTTAAGACTTTACACAGTGCTGATATGACTCCGAAAAATTATAACAGAATGGATGGCTTGGGCCACCAAATCTAAAACATGACCTTACTAGCTCTCTCATTACTATAATTTGCAAATTTTTTCACTTTCTCGTCTGAAATCACGACGTGAAATCGTTTTCCTACCTCATTGTCTTCCATCCAATGCTAGGCGTAGGCCCAATTCAATCCGGAAATCAGATGATCTCGTGCCCGATGGCCAAAGGAGTCCCGCCACGGTGTCGCGACAAAAAACGCATCACCGACAATCGAGATATAGTCGTCCTCCCCCCACTAGACACTTAGTGGACGAATTTGAATTCGAACTAGAGCACGCCGGCTGCGGCAGAGCGCGACACCGTCAAATGCATTTCAAGCTAGTGCGATATTCTTTTGTTTTTATCGTCTACACATTGTGATTTTTTCGTTCTGATGACGGTTGTAATCAGAAGTGAAGAGTTTATTGTTGCTTAGCGATGTTTCGTACTACTATGCCCATTTCTTTACTCTGTCTTCAGGTGAGGAAAAAAGGATGCGCATGGGGAGTTCTTGGCCCGACGTTCAATGAAGCAAGACTAAGTTCAAGACTTACCGAGAAAATTTCACCAGTTTTCAAACTTAGTCGTTTTCCAAAATCAACTGAGAATCGTAGTCAAAGAAACGAGCTTGGTAGCACGATTCATCGCTCGAACAAAAGCAACAACTTCAACACCAACTGAGAAAACTGCTAGCGTTCAAAAACCAGTTAAAACGTAGGGGGAACACGGAAAAATTTGTTTAAGATTGAAGTACGAGCTGCAGGTGCCGCGCTCTGCCGCAACCGGCGTGCTCTAGCTCAAATTCGAATTTGTCCACTAGGTGTCTAGTGGGGGGAGGACGACTATAATTGCGTCATCACGGCCTTGTCATCGCTCTCGGATTTCCCTCAGTTGAGAAATAACAGATGGTGTTTGGTAATTTCATAACGGCCGTTCTCGCCAAGAATCTCAAAATCAGCTCTCGGCTTTCCTGATAATACTTCCAATCCGGTGCTTTATGCTGATGACACGCTGCTAATGGATATTTTCTCGGGTGGAGACAACAATGGAGACCGCTGACGGGGCTCGTTGCAGCTCCTTCCTAATATGATTGAGTCCACATAATTACGTCCCTGTTTGGCTATGCTGCTTATTGGATCAGTACGGATTTCTAGTCCAACGATTACGCCTGGATATAGAGCGTTGGGAGAACGGATTAAGAAGAAAGAGATCTTGGCATTGGAGAGCGTGCAGAAAGTGTGAACTCATGGAAGAACTCTGCTTTTGGCATGCGTTGATACCCGACCTTCTCTCCTTCCACTCAACCCCTCTCACTCAAGTCATAGCTCGTAACAGTTGTCGAGTAGCCGACAAATTTTCGTGTATCACCTGCACAAACGACACAACAGCCACTAGGGCTACTCTGTCGGCTTCTCTTTGGATCCACACTTTTATGACGCGCGAAGGTGTCAGATGTAGATGCTGGTTCGTCTCTTTCTACCTGGCTTAAAGGCAGTGTTCGGGCAAGATGGGGGATTTTGGGATTTCAGTGCCAGGCAGTGTTTCCCCCCCCCCCTCACACACAACATCGCGCAAGTGCGACGTCATAACGCTCGACCTAAAGCAAGAAAAACGACCGGAAAGTGGGGAAACTTACGCCTTGGGGCGGGCTCCTCCGAGCTGTCCGAATTCCTGCTATGCGGCAGAGTACGCATGCCGCCGCAGTAAAAATGTAGGGTCCCGCAGCGACTCTGCGTCTCTACCTTGGTGGGAACCGTCAATTTCAAAGTGCGGCTTTGGAAAACCTATGTTCTCGCCGTTTTCGCTCCTTCTCATGTGGATTTTCGGATTTAGCGTTGCGGATAGTCCGCGGTGACTGGATTTTCTAGAAATCGAGTTTTTACCCGGACACTGCCTTTGAGGAGATTCAGTGACAGAGGAGAAGGAAATACAAGAAATTTGTTCTAGGAAATTCCATATGGGTAAACAATCTGACTGCAGTGAACACCATCTTCTTTCGCGGATTAGAACAAAGGTAGTATGCGAAAGCTCAGCTCGTCAGCACCTCCCTATAACTAAATAGATGTCCACTACAGTATTCACCGTCAAGTTTTTATCGGTTGATCAACTTCAGCCCTGTCTGCTCTGTCGCGACCTCGTGACAGACTTACATCACCATCGTCAGAAGATAGCGGCACCGGCGACGGAGAAAAAGAACTCGCTTCAGTGTGAATAGCGCTAGTATCAGTCATTGCATAGAAGCCAAACGTATCGTAGTTTCTAATATTTGCTATCAAGGATAGGAGAACAGGAAACAAGGTGGATCTCGAAAGGTGCTCTATCGACCCATTTCGTAAAAGATATAACCAAACATTTTCTGAACCATTCGTCTGACTCTTTATACGCTCATAGGAACAACATTCAAAGCAAATTTCGTACTATAAGATCCTTCTCCATAACAAATCTGTTTTAGAGAGAAAATGCCTCTAACATCCCGATATCAACTTACAATAGAGAAGAGCCCAGCTTACTTCCACAGCAAGACTGCCGCAGAACGAATACGTGCCTTGGATCCTACTATGAAAATCATCATAGTGGTGCGAGACCCTGTGATGAGAGCTATATCAGGTAGGATAGCTCTGGCACTGTTTTTTTAATGGTTTCTAGTAAATTCATTACCCTTGCAGATTATACACAAGCGTCCTCGAAGCGAAAAGTGTTTGGTATGATGCCAACATTCGAAGAGATGGCCGTTGGCAATTGTGCACCGTGGCTGAAGACGAATTGCTCAGCCAAAGTTGGTGGAGTCAATGTAGGCTGGGGTGCAATACGGATAGGAGTCTATCATAAGCACATGAAAAGATGGCTGGACAATTTTCCTCTACAACAGATCCACATTGTGGATGGAGAGCGATTAGTTACGCAGCCTGCCCTAGAAGTCGGCCAAACAGAACGATTTCTTGGAATTGAGCCAAGTGAGTAGCCAACAAACCCTAGAGGCCGCCCAAAAACGTCTTTTTAGTCGTAAAGCCAGAAGACTTCGGTGTCGACCCAATCAAGAAATTTCCATGCGTTCGGCGATCCGATGGCTCCTTACGTTGCTTGGGCAAAACAAAGGGTCGAAAACATCCCGCGGTTCGACCGGAAGTCCTTCGAATGCTGAAGCGATTCTACGATGGCGAGAATCGGAAATTCTTCCAACAGATCAATCGATCATTTGCTTGGTAGTACTTGCAATCATCGAATCCATTACCGTATCTCTTTCGTCCTATGATTCTAGTCAAATGCGCTGCCTTAAAAAATTCTTATTACGAGTATTTGCTTTTGCCCATTCTAGCGCAGAATCTCTATGCTGTCATGATAATACATCCCCAAATTTTTCTGTTCGTAGATCTGGCTTTTGCATTACTAACCCCCCCCCCCCCTTCCCCTCCATTCCATGCCATAGCCATCATGAAATCGATGTATCGATTTGCGGGTATTACTTCTGTGATGTTGTACAGTTCCGGGTATTTGCAATATGTGTCCGTGTACTGCATCGTAATCAATATATGTTGTTATCAGTTTGATGTAAATGATAGAAAGAGTAATAAAAATTTCACAATACGATCGTAGAGATCAAGAGGTCCAAGAAAGGCAATAATAATCTTTGGTGTCATTTCCTACACTGATCTGCTGAACTTCAATCATAGGATTGGTTGTTACATAACTTTCACACACTTTCGTTAAACTTGGATTACCGCAATAAGTACTAACTTCTTTTTCAGCTTAGAGGGTACCGTTCGATTCAGATTCACATCCATAAATGATTTGTAAGATATTCTGATTTCAGCTGAGTTCTCCAAGGCCACGGATTCTCCATACATAGTACGCAAATCAGTGGTGCAGTGAGAGGACATTAGATCGGATTAAGAAATATTTGAATTATCAGAATGTGCATTTCATTTCAATCACTGTTCAAAATTCAAGACTAGGAAGGGTATTCAAATATGAATATCTAGGACCTGATTGTGAAAGTTATGTAACATGTGTCACTTGCATTTCCCTCTATTATCTTTCTTCTTCCCACTGTTGAACACTACAAGAAGCATCTTCTCATCTTTCGACTATAGAGAAATGATTACATTGCCAAGTTTCACAACGTAATAGCAGTAATATTTTCAACACTGATCATAAACGCTGGATCTGCTTACGGATTACAGCAGAAAAAAGCTACCAACACAACACAAGAGGTGAACAACAACTGTCGACAGCAACTGTATGACTGATGATGTTTGTTGTTACGGTAGTTTAGCGTCTGGTGTGCACGGTATTTGCTCTCACAAAATTCTGTCGAGGTAGTCGTCTATATCTCCTCATTAATCCCAGGAGCTTCTCATTGAATATTTCTATTTTTTTAGAGAGTAGTCCAACTAAAGCATAGAGATAACCGATGAAAGGAGTTCATTTGCCTTTTTAAACATAGAAACTGTCAAGAATTTCTCGGAAGGCAGAGTTCCAAGAAGCGAAGGAAGAAAGATGGAGAGTAGGGAAAACAAAGATATACCAAAGCATTGGGTTCTGAGAAAAACACATACTTGATACATTCATCCACTTCGCTAATGGTCAAGTCAGTGAACTAACCAATAACGACGCGAATGTCTACTTGATCCACTTCGCTATTGGTCAGTGCACTGTGACCAACAGTGAAGCGGATCAAATGAATCAAGTACGGCGTATGCCTTACACGGATTATCAAAGCATCAACGAAACCAAATCCCTGTCAATACATTACTACTTATATAATCTTTCTTGAAACACCTTCCTGAAATGATTACAATTGCCTTTGCAAAAGTATTACTTTTCTTTTCTTCAGCCACATCAAATTTCTGACAATTTTTATTGAATAGGATGCAATGCTTACACATCGCAGGTACCCGAAAATGTACAACATCACAGAATCAAACCCGAAAATCGATATATCGATCGTGACTATAATCGCTACATTATGGAATAGAAGCGTTCAGAAATACATAATGAGTTAAAACAAAAGGAGCATGTCAAATTTACAATAAAAAATTTGTAAAATTCCGATATGTTTTTATTATGACGGATGACAGCATAGAGATTCTGCGCTAGATTGGCCAAAAGTAAATACTCGTAGGAATAGTGTTAAGGCAGCACATTTGACTAGAATCATAGATGAAAGAGTTACGGTAATGGATGCGGTGTCTTTGAATTCTACCATGCAAATGATCGATTAATCTGTTGGAAGAATTTCCGATTCTCGCCGTCGTAGAATCGCTTCAGCCTTCGAAGGACTTCCTGTCGAACCGCGGGGTGTCTCCTTCCTTTCGTTTTGCCCAAGCAATGTAAGGAGCCATCGGATCGCCGAACGCATGGAAACTTCTTAATTGGGTCGACACCGAAGTTTTCCGGCTTCACGACTAAAAAATAGTGTTCAACAGGCTACGTATACTATGCTATCTTCAAAATTACCTGGCTCCAGTCCAAGAAACCGTTCTGTTCGGCTGACTTCCAAGGCAGGCTGTGTGACTAATCGCTCCCCATCCACAATGTGAATCAGCCCTAGAGGGAAGTTATCCAGCCATCTTTTCATGTGCTTGTGGTAGACTCCTATCCGTATTGCACCCCAACCGACGTTGACTCCTCCAACTTTCGCCGAGCAGTTTGTTTTCAGCCATGGTGCACAATCACCAACGGCCATCTCCTCAAATGTTGGCATCATACCAAAAGCTTTCCGCTTTGAGGAAGCTTGTGTATAATCTGCAAGGTCAATAACTTCATAAAGGATTATAAGAAGAGTCAAGAGTTATCTCACCTGATATAGCTCTCATTACAGGATCTCGCACCACTATGATGATTTTCATGTTTGGATTCAAGGCACGTATTCGCTCTGCCGCAGTCTTACTGTGGAAGTAGGCTGGGCTCTTTTCTATTGTGAGCTGGTCTCGGGATGTCAGAGGCATTTTTTCCCTGAAACAAACGAACATTTCAGAAAAAGAATTTGAAAAAATCCTGCTTTGAACTAGATCTCAAGGGCACTGCTGTCAATCTAGCCTTTCAAGGAAGCTAAGTGGAGTAACTCAAATGATTGGTTAATTTCAGTATGAACTGGGTTGAGAGTACCTAACAACTGATTACGACTGGGCACTACCTCAGTCACAAGGAGTCTTGTCGGGAGAGGTACGAATCTGGAAGGAGGTGATTCTTGCTTGTCCTCTTGTACCGCACTCTTTTCCATTACTAACATCCGAGCACCCTTTTCAAAATGCATCATTGCTCCCTATTCTTCTGCACTTAATAGCAACGAGATCACATAGGTTGATACCAGCGCTATTCACACTACGGCGAGCCCCTTTACCCGTGATCGGTTCCGCTATCTCCACAGTAGGTGACATAACTTTATCAAGAGGTCAGAGCAGACATCATCGCCTTGGCCAGATTTTTGGTAGACCAACGCTGAGATACTGATACTGTAGTGCTAGTCTACCATAGTGATGTGTATATGTAAGCAAGTCAAGCTATCACAAATGCTGCCTTTACTGACTCCTAATTATCAGAAAATGATTTTCGTGGTTAGATTCTTTGCACATATGTCCCATTCCCTACCTCCCCAGGCCGGGTAAAAGAAGACGATATACCAGCTTCTGCAGTTGCTAACACCTCGCGCGTCATAAAAGTGTGTGATTCAAAGAGAAGCCGACAGAACTAACGCTGGTGGCTGTTGTATCGTTTGTGCAAGTGGTGCACGAAACAACAATTTGTCGGCTACTCGACAACTGTTACGAGCTATGACATGGGTGAGAAGGAGGTGGAATTAGTTGGAAGGAAAAGGCTGTGGAATAAAGCTTTAACGTAGCCGACTTTTCAAATGGGCGCACACTCTCTGAGCGACTCTAAGGGCCGTATGCACTAACATCCCTGCGGCGAGGGGAGCGGCATCCCCCATTATGAAGGGGTCGCGTGCGGACGCCGCTACGACTTTTACATCATTGGGGACGTCGCTCCCCTCGCCGCAGGGATGTTAGTGCATTCGGGCCTAAGATGGCAAGATCTCTTTTCTTCTCCGTCCATTATCGCGCTCTATATGCAGGCGTAATCGCTGGACTAGGATTTCGTACTGATCCAATAAGCAGCACAACACAACCAGGCGCCTCTGGCACGAACAACACTAGCCAAACAGAGACGTAATTATATGGACTCAATCATATTAGGAGCGAACAGCAACGAGCCCCATCTCTCCGCTTTATCCCAGATTCACGCGAAAATATCCATTAGCAGTGTGTCATCAACATTAGGCACCGGATTGGGACTATTACCAAGACGCTGGTGGTAGGAATCCTGACTTACTTGGCTATCAAGGTAAGGTAAAAGGCTTTTTTTCTCGTCGATCACTCTAAAAAGTGCTTTTAGTGTTCAATTTAGTTCCCGCTCTCGCATATCCAGTCACTATACGCCACACAATCAATGTTATTAGAGGATTCTATCTCAAGCACCATCTGCTAGTTTCCTAAATGAGGGAAATCCGAGAGCGACGACAAGGCCGCGATGACGCAATTATCATTGTCGGTGAAGCGTTTTTTGTCGCGACACACATGGCGGGACTCCCTTTGGCAATCGGGCACGAGATCAGCTCATTTCCGGATTAGAATTAAGCCTACGGCTAGTACGTGAGGAAAGAGGAAAGACGGAGTGAACAGATGAGTTGGGTTTTGACCCCTCAAAGTGCTATGAATAGCAGTTTTTTGATCCAACTTGAAAAAAAGTCAAAACTCAATAAATTACAGGAAGGTTGAAATTCAAGCTAAGTGATTCACATTTCAAATGGATTAAAAAGCAGGTTTTGTGATTTCATTAGATACATGATTCTCAGGTTTGAAATCAAAAGAACTTAAGATTCTATAGATTAAACAATAAAGCTACCAAAGCCAAAAGAGGTAAAGTTGATTCATGTATTCCATTCTCATTCTCTGAAGGCATTTTCTGCACTCCAGGAAGTCTCAAGCCATGAAATTTGAAGTTTCTTGAATTTCCAACTTGACTTTCTTACCCCCTCGCTCACAATCATTTGCACAATACCAAAGCCACAAATCTCCTTTATCTCTGTGACTTTGATGACGCAACGATTAGGATCTAGGGTCTTCATCATCATAACTTACCGCACCCCACCCCGATAGACTCGATGGTGTTATACTTCACCTCTTCGTCTATTGTTTTGCACCCGAAGGTTTTGAGTTGGGGGTTAGGGTAGATTTACGAGGGCTGCCATTACAGTGCGCGAGGAATACACTAACGACTCGGTTGTAAAACCGTCACTAACTCATCTCGGGTAAGTAATGTATACGGGGAGGAGCAGAAAACAGTCCCGACTGAGAAGTGAATGGTCTAAACCTGGTCCTGTCTGAATACTAATTAGGAGCTGTGTGTTTTACTACGTTTGTTTCTATGGAATTGCACCTTTTTAATGGTGATTTCCTCTCAAATGTACACTTGTACTTTGCATGCAATTAATGGCAGTTGTCGCCTTAAGCTTAACTCATTTGAGAGACTAATCACCCTATCGTTGTGTAGGAGCATTCCCAAAGATTAACGACCTTTACAGTGAGCCAAATGTGCTGACAAATTGCTCCGCACTCAGACATACTCCAGGGGTGAAAGCGAAAGGTCAACGTCGTTTGCGTAGCGCCTAACGCTATATCAGCTGTTCGGAAGTTTCTGACTTAGATAAGTCTGGCTTGGTGCCAGATTTTTCCCAGAAACAAATAACCTCAATGTTATTATGATGCTAGCGTGTTGTACATATGTTTACACAGCCTTATGAGCTTCACCTGTTCCCATGGTCTGAGTGGCTGGGTTGCCCAGCACCTGCGCTATACCCACGGTTCACTCCCGAAATGAAACACGATACGGGATGTTATTAGCTTGCACACGCCCATCAATGAGTAAACAAAAACTGTAATTCATGATAAGTCAAAAAATGGTGAAAGTTCTCTGTCCACTACTCCTCCCACTTCCATTCGTCTACATCTTTAGCGTCGTCGCGTCTACACAGAACTAGAACATGTACTTTCCCCTGTCATGCTGCAAATGGCAACTTGCTGTGAAATTCCTATAAAAAATTTCCCTCCAGGACTTTTCTGCTGATGACAGCTCACTCCTCTCATAAAGGCATTCGGAGTTATTTCTTTCGGGAAGGCTCCACTTTTGTCCCAAACAAACCCAACCACCACGGGTCAGCTCTCAAGTGAACATTTGATACGAACTGTGCCCTTGCGGCCTTGCAGCTGTTTTCAGCTTCAATGTGAGCAATAAATCAATGCGCAGAAAATGAGAACTTAATTGGTTTCGAGGTTATGGAGCAATAACTCTGCAGTACGCGTTTCAGCTCAAAATAGGAGAAATCGCTTGCAAAAATTGCATAAAAGTTAAAGAATCAGTCAAATTTGAAGAGAATTTTCAACAATAAAAAAACTGATGATAGTTGATGCATCCTTAGTGATTGAAATCGACGAAAAACTAAAGACATTATGTTGATTTATTATCAGGATAGAAAGAACATGATCAAGCAGTCATTTGGTCTTTCTACACTATCCATTCAAAACAGCAGAATCTTCGAAAAAGCCTATACATTCACATCCAACCCTATGAATTATTCGGCAAAAATTTGATTCTTGATTGTTTTCACTTCAAGTGTTGGAAGAACCAAAAAAGGAAAGTAGCTTATAATAAGATTGAGAAACTGTAAAAAGAGAAAGGAAGAAAAACTTCTGCACCTATGGACAAAAGGCACTTTCATGAGATTCCAAATCTACCGTAATAATGAGATAACAGCGCTTATTAGTGGATACTGTACCAAGCGGCTATTAGTGCCCTCGGTATAATAAGCATCTTGTAACCAATAGGCTATTACGATGGCTAATACTCTCTGGACATGACAACTTGTCCGAAATTCTATCAGAGATGGCACTGCGAGCTATTTGTACACTGTAATCAATAGTAGTCCCCATGAGAAGAGCGAACAAAAAATATTCAGAAAAGGCCTTACCTATACCAGTCTAGTCCCTTGTGATAGTTCTTATCGAAGAAGTGCACTTCCGGTCCTGGAGCTCGAATACGAGGATTTAATCGTAGGAATTCCAGCAAAGCTCTGGTGCCAGCCTTCTTTACTCCGACAATTATAGCTGTCGGAAATTTCTTCTGTGGTAGATCTGCCGGTTGGCTGCACAGTATCAGCGGAACCAGGTGTAGTATTAACCGCAGTAGCATTTCGTAGAATCTTCTGGAAGACTTGCAAAGTAGCAATTTGAACAAAAAGTGTGAATTGAGAATTCTATGACGGAAATAGCAAGCGAAATGAAAGCAGGCGGAGCTTGTTAATGAGCTTGCGATGTAAGTGACAATGAAGTAAGGAGCAAGCCATGTAGAACAAACTTGCAAAATAATGATGGTCTGGGCTTGTGGGAAGCATGTTATCTAGAACTTCTACTGAGGCAAAGAAGCACATGTACGCAGCATAATGCACAGGGATCGAAGTAGAGGCGTATAAAGGGAAAAAATAAAATTGTTTTAGTTCCCGCTCATAATCTTAACCCGATTTTCATACCCAAATTTTTTGTAGTATAATATATGAATTAAGAATGAAAATACTCTAAAGCAACTTCATTCCTTTGGGTATGGTATAATTTTGCCAAATGACAATGTGAGAATTTTTCAAAAAGAACTCGAAGAACGATAATGGATTGATGATATGCAGCTGAGAATTAAATGAATCGAAAAAAATTACGAACATACCTAGTATCATAAAAATTGATACATTATCAAATATGAAACGCATTCTAGCTTGAAAACGACACAAGAACTTCTCTCCAGATTGAGTAGCCATGTTACTTCGCAAAGGAAAGATGATTCTACAATAATACGTAGTGATCAAACTGATAGACCATAATTAGCGCAATACATAATACAGACATATATAGCTCAAATGCAAAAAAAATTTACATAGGAATAATTCGATAGAGAAGAGATGGTTTATCAAATCTGTCTGGATACTATGGAAAGCTCCCTTTACGTTCAAAATCTGAAAAGCACAGCAGGAAAATATCTGAAATTAGCAGATATCCCTATATAGGCTTATTAAACAATTTGATAGATCTATAGTTCCTGATTCAATAGAAATGATATAAAGCAAAGCGCAAAATGCAAGAGGAGGCTCCAAAAAACCTACGTCCAACCTGGGCGTGTCCGCGGTCTGAGGAAGGCGGTCCTTACCAGCCTTGCCAAACAAACCCTGATCACCCGGCATTTCATCTGACATCCAATCAAAGACTACTTACGAAAATATCGAAAAATTCGCAACAAAATTTCATTTAGCTGCCAGCTTTCTGAGAGAAAGCTTTGCAAAATATTTCCAGCAAAGCCTGCGACAAAGCGCAACATTTTCGTTACCGCTGGAAAATGAGTGCTGATGCACTTTCTGAAGCTGCAGCTGAGCATCCATGTGTTCCAGAAAAAGAAACCCCGATAGGTGGCATGAAATGGAGTAATTTATGCCGAGAATTTGTTCAGAAAGCCTGCTGAAAAAAGCGGATGTTCACAGACGACGAAACGAAAGGGCAAGGCAGAACAGAGTTCTTGCAAAGGGTAGCGTGTAGATTTTGGCAGTTTTTTTTTCCGCAAGCGATGAATATCTTAGATGAGGGTTCTGCAAATTTGCGTGATACACGAGATTAGAGAATTATGCATTTATTTACGAAAAGCCGCGAGTTTTACGTTAATTATAGCTACGTTCAAGCGACAAAGTGCTTATATAGAAGTGTAGTCAACCACAGCCATACAGTTTTTAAACCCGTAGCCTAAACTATTAAAGTGAAATAATCATCGGTATGATAGTACGAAATTTTAGCGGAGAACGTCCTAAAGAATGCTGATGAAGCCAATTGGTTGCAGAGAAGTTTGAGTCTTTCATTCCCACATTTTCATTGTCATCGCGGAGGAATCCCACAACCGAAGATGAGGTGAAAACGGACGATAAATAATATATTGATATGAGACTCCAAGTATTCAAAGAGGGTAAATAATAAATGCACATCGACTTGGATCTAGACAATTTGCAATCAGTGCTGGAGGCTTCATGATGCGATTTCTTTCTTGGTAACATTTATAGATGGTTTATTGAGGAAGGATGAGAAGCGTATGCTACTATTTTGAAAATGAGACATTCTCAAAATAGTAGCATATGCTATAAATGCCAAAACCAGGCAAGCGCAGCCCATTTTCTTTTTTAGCCTAAACAATTTGCCCCAAAGCATCAGTCGTTAGCCTAATCTCTAGACATTTGAGCTTTTTATAATCATAATGCGCTTGAGCCAAACGGGCAAGTTGTAGAGGAGGTTATGGCAGGGATTAGGGGCCAAATAAGCGCTCATACGAGCAGCCTGCTGATCGATGCAATTTCCATTAAGTCATAGCCTGAAGACAGAACCCGTCAGCATCTCAATTACCTCTTCTTGCGACAAGCATGACGTGCATCGTAGAACTGCCAGGCGGGCCGGGATGTCGGTTGCCGGTTGTGGCTCTCGGACCGCCCCTAAAACCTTACCACCTCCTCCCACTCCCTCTCCTCCCTGCTAGTTGCATCTTCTTCTTCGCTAGATATGAAAGAAGTGATAAAACGAAATTCATTCAACTTAGTGAGTGAATGACAACGGGCAAATAGCACGTAGAGCTAAGAGCAGGTAGACCTTTGCCGTATTATTCCACTTTCGCTCTAGATTGAGTATTTAGTTGACTCGCGAAAAAAAAATGAAAATTTCTAGGATTTGTGAATTGAAAATGATACTGGTGTCGAAATCCAGGTGAATGTTTGTGCTGAATATTGAATTCGAGGGGGTGCTAGCTGCTTAGTCTTGGTATGAGTAGTTGACTACGAGGTAAGCACTGAAACACTTTTTTTGGTAAGAGCGAACATGAGAGTTTTCGAGAGTACGTCTTGATTGAAAAGTGCTTGAAATTACGAGTAGCAGGTGGTAGAGAAGTAGGGGAGGGCAAAGTGGGGTAGTGCAGCCGTAGAGCAGTAGAGAATGCGATTTGGGCATGGCATGCTTCTGCTAAAAAAATAAACCGGTTATGCTTCTATTTCATTTCTGCGCTGCTGCTTACAAGTAGTGATTACTATGATATTGAAGCCGCAGCTCTAGACGTAGTCATTTGATCTTATTAGCCAATCTCGCTCCTTCCCCTCCCCTCCCCCCATCCCACCATATCACCGTAACTTTCTCATTCTATCAACATTAATGCGCGAGAAAGTCGGGTATCAGAAGATCCGGAGTGCGAAAGTGGTCGTAAAGTCACGCGCGGGGGTCTACTGATGACCTCGCGCTCACGACTTGATTTGTCGAAACTCCCATCACTGCGGGCCTTTAATTAACTTTTATTGCTATATAAAGTCGCTATCGCGACAGTCATCTACGCGGCGAGCTGGTCCTCAGCCTTCAGATCGTCGCTTACGGTATCAGTTGACTTCAAGAGGTGACATAGTAAGGGAGAAGTTATTGTAGTCAAACAAAGCTACCGTAATCTTGTCTAGAAGCAAGCACTTTCTGTCGGAAATCATGGAGAAGAAAAGCGAAAACACTATTAAGCTTCCCATTTTCCATGCAAAGACAACCTTCATTAATTCAAGTGACCATTTCTATTTAGATAGATGCGAATGGTTAATCACCATGACGCAAGACGTGTCGGACCCACCCTAGGATCATATTCCCGGCTTATCATCGGCAGGGGATGTACCAAAAATAAGAACTGCCCTCAGATCTTCTTCTCGTTGACATCATAATTATGGAGAGAACAGACACGAGGCCATATGTCAATAAGCAGGGTTAACATCGACTCTAATCACGAGATACTTTTATGAACAAGATTTGGTATTTTGCTTTAAATGTAATGAAGGGGTAGCATGAGCGAAACAGAAGTGCCACACTCGTTTGAAGAAAAATTTACGAAAGCTATGGGGAACTAGTAAATAATAGCGTTCAAAAGCAAAACATGCTTGTCAAAATCAGCGCTTTTGACTTAAAAAGTGATCCACAACTGCAAACTTGGCTGGTTGCCGAACTCCGTAAACAGCTAATTTATAAAAAAGTGTTGATGCGTAACTGTAATTGTATATTACATGAACCAGTCAGAAAAGCAAAAAAGGACAACTATTCGAGGTAAACCCTACCTACCCATTTGTAGGGAGTTTTGTGGATGAAAAGGCAAGAGCAGAAATTGGTAAACTCTAAAAGGACTAAGCAGCCTCTACTATTTTTGTACTTTTTAAGCACTAGAATCACAGGGGCTAGGAGAAGTCATGTTTAACACTTGCTTGAAAATGCAGATGGAGATCCAAACTATAATGCATTCCTTCTCCTTCAAAAAATTCAGCTTTCATGATGGCGGTCCATCAGTGAAAGCTTCAGAGCAATCGCAAGAGAACAAGATTCCTACAACATAGCTGGAAATAACTAGCAATGCATTAGCAAAGGTCAAATAGGATAAAACTATTGCGTGTAAAAAATTTGAAGCTATGATTAGCACATAACCAGATTCAATGCGCATTAGTTAAGTGAATGGTATGTACAATCCGTAGAAAGATCTGAATCCAGCAGTTAGCACGAGTCTGCTTGAGTTTTTATGTCAGCTGTCCATTTGTTGGAATTACAACGACATTGTTTTTTGGGCATGAATGTCACCTCTTCTGTCACTTTCTCACCTTTCACACAGCAGCTGCGTTTTTTAAAAAAGTCTTGATTGAGTATTCTTAGCAATTGCTTGAAGTAATTCCTTTTCCTACTGTACCTGAATATTTATTGAAGTAACTTGAGTAGAACGAACTGGGTTTTTGGAGCTACACACTTGATTTGACCTCTATTTTGACCCCTATCCCAGAACTAATTTATTGTCAGACTACCCATGGAAAAAAGCTGCAGTTTGGCAAGCGGTTAGTCTTTATCAAAAGAGTATAATGCTTTATCCTCGAGGGAAGTTGTCCGAGGCCCTACGTAATTTTTTTCTAGAACATCTTCAGTCTGATCCTGAAGGAATAAAGGCGGGTCAGGCAATAAACCAGTCTTCTGTGTCCAATTAAGTGAGAGTCCTCCTTAAGACATCTATCAAGAATAAATTATTACGATTTTTTTCCAATGAAATTGTGGCTCTGTTTTGAAACTATATAAGTGGAGCATACCATAGTGGATAACTTTGAAATAGCCGTATTCCTCGACGCAAAGAGATGGAAGAGAAGGATTTGACGAGACTGAGACTTTGCAAACAAAGTTTGTTAGGTTCTTTGTGCTTATTTGTCACACCAACCATGAAAAATTTGCTGGCATCGGTAAAGGGACCATGGCAAAATCTGTTTTGCATAGAGATTCCACTTTGAAAGTTTGATATAATTGATGTTTTGAATCCTTGAAAAATATGGTAAGAAATATGGTAAGCTGGTGTTCAAAGAAATAATGAATTTTCAACACTTGGTTTATTCTTCGGAGAAAAAGGTCTACGGTGCAGTGGCTTGAGTTTTGTCAATGAATGGTCCAAGATAGAATTTTTAGGTACTCAAAAAAGTCTGTAAAATTTATATGCCTAATGTGCTCAGTTTTGCTAAACCTTATCTCCATTTCCAGTCTGCAATGTCACATCGAAGTCAACGTTTTTTATTAATGTTCAAATGGGCCCAACAAAGCTAATTTCTAAGAGAAACGGAGCACGAAACAATAATTAGCACCTTTCCATGTTTTCTATCATCAAACGCAACAGCTGAACGGTAGTGATGTTTTGAACGGTTAAAAGCAGCAATTACTGCATGCCCGGTAAAAGACGAGAGAGGCGACAGATTTCTAGCACAACACCCTAGAATTAGGGTATTTGTAGGTGTATTGTCCTGATTTCCATATTGTTTCGAGGGTGATTGATTGAGGGGTTTGAGCTGATTGGAGGGGAATAGGTGTGAACAGGTGCTCGGCATTGCGACAGCGATGTGTCACTTTTCTAGGAAGGAGGGAGCGTGGGGGGGGGGGATCAGATTTACGAGAAGAGTAAAAAATCCGAGGAGAAAATGCATATTATACACGTACGTAATTTATCTTAAAGTTCACATCGTTGGTCTCTCGAAAGAAAAAAAACTCTTAAAAAATTGAACTTTCTATGCAGCCTGAAAAAAAGTGATAAGACTATAGTAATTCCAACCAATAAAGAGATTGGTACGGATAAATGCATTAGAAAAATCAACGATTGATCAGAAAGGATTGCGTGAGAGATGTGCTTTGCTGTGTC